GAAAAAAAGTTCACTAATTTTAAAAATTTGGGAATATTTGGGGGGGGTTTTTTCCCCCTTGTTTAATTTCGGAATTAAAAAGTTTAACTCTTTTTGGGGCCCTTTTGCCCGAATTCTGGGACAAAAATTCCCCAAATTGGGTCCCAAGGGGGGTAGGGAAACGGTTCCCAAAACGTTTTTTCAAACATTCTGCCCCAACCTTTTTTTCCCGGGGAAATTAAAAACTAAAAAAGATCCCTGGAAAAAAAATTAAAAAATTCATTGGCCCCAAAAAATTTTTTTAAATTTCAAAAGGGGGGGGCAAAGAAAAATATATTCAATTAAAAGAGAGAAATTAAAAAAAGGAATAAGAAAAGCAAAAAGGAATTTTGTGGGTAAGGTCACAAGGGGAAAAACAAAGATTAACCCCAAAGGATTTTTCAGGGATACAGAAGAAAATTTGGGACAAGATTGGCCCCCTTAAAATTAACTCTGGGCAATCACTGACAGTGATAAAGGGTATTTTTGAAATTCTAAAAACCCACTTCCCCTCATTTTTACCCCGGAAAATATTCGATATTCCCCGAAATAAAAATTATTAGAAAGGGGGTTTAAAAAATAGTATGTGCGGTAATAGGACATGGTCCTCAACAAAAAAGAAACAAAACCTAAAAAATCCCCCGCTCTGGAATGTTTTTCAAGGGTGTTAAAGGGAAAGAAAGAGGAATTGCATACCCTTTTTGGCTAATTTTTTTTTCAATCACTACAAAAGGCATGTGCCCCGTAAATGGAAAATGGCAAAAGTAATTCCTATTTAAAAAATCAGGGGACAGGCCTTTGGTTGCACTATAGACCCAAAAACCTTACCTCCATAGGGGAAAAAAAAAGGAACCCAAAATTCGAAGCAAATTGTAGCCTCTTGACAGGCCCCAGATTATTTAAAGAATCTCAACATGGTTTTACAAAAGGGCGTTCCCCCGTCTTAAGAATTTCAACTTTTTTCACTAAGGTTTTGAGGAGGTGACAAAGGGGAATGAATATGATATTGTGTATTGGACTTTGAAGGCTTTGTAGAGTTCCCACCAGAGGCTTGAGGAAACTTTTGGCCAAGGAATAAAAAGGGAAAATTTTTTTTTCCCGGGGAAAGGGGGATAGCTGACAGACAGCAGAGATTTTTCATAAATGGGGAGAAATCAGAATGGGGGCACATCACAAGCGGTGTTCCTCAGGGGTCAGTGTTGGGCCCGTTGTTCACAATTTACATAAACGACATAGATGAGGGAATAAATAGCGACATAAGCAAATTTGCTGATGACACCAAAATAGGATGTCCAATTCATTCTAATGAGGACACTAGAGCACTCCAGGATGATTTGAATAGACTGATGCAATGGTCGGAGAAGTGGCAGATGCAGTTTAATATTGACAAATGCAAAGTTCTAAATGTTGGACAGGTAAATAACCATGCCACATATAAACTAAATAATGTAGATCTTAATACTACTGATTGCGAAAAGGATATAGGAGTTCTGGTTAGCAGTAATTTAAAACCAAGACAACAGTGCATTAGTGTTTGCAGTAAAGCTAACAGAATTCTTGGCTTCATATCTAGAAGTATAAATAATAGAAGTCCTCATGTTGTTCTTCACCTCTATATATCCTTGGTTAGGCCTCATTTAGACTATGCTGCTCAGTTCTGGTCACCGCATTACAGAATGAATATAAATGCTCTGGAAAACGTACAGAGGAGGATGACAAAGATGATCCCATGTATCAGAAATCTTCCCTATGAGGATAGACTGAAGGCCCTGAATGTGCACTCTCTCGAAAGGCGTAGAATTAGGGGTGATATGATCGAGGTGTATAAATGGAAAACAGGATTAAATAAAGGGGATGTAAATAGCGTGCTGAAAATTTCCAGCCAAGACAGGACTCGCAGCAATGGTTTCAAGTTGGAAAAATTCAGATTCAGAAAGGATATAGGAAAGCACTGGTTTGGTAATAGAGTTGTGGATGAGTGGAACAAACTCCCGAGTACAGTTATTGAGGCTAAAACATCGTGTAGTTTTAAAAATAGGTTAGATAAATACATGAGTGGGTGTGAGTTGGACCTGACTAGCTTGTGCTGCTGGGTCTGGTGCAGTGCTCCATCCTTGAGTGGAGATGATCAGACTGGGTGGGTTATTGGGCTAATCTGGGGGGGGGGGTCATTGGTCTAATCCGGGGGGGGGGACATGGACCTGCTCCGCATGGGTCAGTAGGCCTGCTGCAGTGCTCTTTCTTATGTTCTTATAAAGGCAATACTAAGTATTTAAAAATAAAGAGAATATAGTGATTAATTGTATAAAGTAGAATGGACTGATAATAAATGTGGTATTGAAACAAGTTTTTAGCAAGTAATGGTAATTAATACTCTGTAAAAAAATTTACAAAAGTAGAAAGGACTGATAGCAAATATGGTATTAAACAAAATTTTTAGGAAGTAATAGTAATTAATAGTATTTAAAAAATGGGGTTGCAAAATGGACAGATAATATTTATTAGGCAAAATTTAAGCAAGGAATAGTAATTTAAGAAAAATGCATAACATAAGGTGGCTAATTCTCACTAGTAATATCACATATACTGAGGTTATGGAGCAAAACATACACTACAAAGTAGGCTTTTGGTTTAGACATTGTTTAATCAGTCTCTGTAAGATTAGTATCCCAAAGGAATCGTGATAGTTCATTCTCAATTGTGATAGTACATATACAGTTGGCCTACATTTGTTTTCTTCACTAGAATTTTCCCATCCCATGTGAAGAAAAAGAGTGTATTCAAGAGTAAATTGTAAGTGCATGGGTCACTAGGCAAATTTTCAAAGAGTGGGTCCATGATGTGTTTGGCCTGAGTGTGAAAAAATACCTCCTGGAAAATAAATTGCCACTCAAGTGCTTCCTGGTACTGGACAATGCTCCTACTCATCCTCCAGACCTGGAAGACCAATTGTTTAGGGACTTCAGTTTTATAACAGTGAAGTTCTTGCCTCCTAACACCACTTCACTCATCCAGCCCATGGACCAGCAGGTCATTTCAAACTTCAAAAAACTCTACACCAAAGCAATGTTTCAAAGGTGCTTTGAAGTGACCTCGGACACTGAATTGACCCTAAGAGAGTGTCTGGAACGGATTAATTGTATTTACATTACTTCTTATGGGAAAAATTGATTCAGTTTTTGCACTTTTCAGTTTTAGAATGAACTTCTGGAATGGATTAAGTTTGAAAACCAGAGTTCCACTGTACAAGATTAAAATGGCAACTTGGTATATAGGTCTCCCTCAACACGTTTTCAACTTTCACGGGCTTCACACATTCGCGAATTCCTAACCGCCAAATTCCCAGCCACCAAATTCCCAGCCGCCAAATCATATTTAAGTTTCCCGCCACCAGCGAGTCCCTACTACCCTCCCTCCGACCCTCGCAACTGGCAGCCAGCCCTCCCACCACTCAGTGTGGTGAGTGTTTTGTTTGTTCATTATTTGCTATTAAACTACAGTATAAATAATGTAAACCCATTCATGACTGCATATTGGAATGGCTATTCGGACAGGTATTAGACGGTGACATCATGTGTTTACTCTTGAACACTGCAAAGAATTAAACATTTCTGCTACAGCTAATAATAACAATAGTAATAATAATAATAATAATAATAATAATAATAATAAATATGATATAATTGAAGAAGGAAAATTGTACAAAAAAACGAGGGAGTGGTTGACACATCGTCAGTGTGACTTTGTTTATGCTGGAGTGAACATTAGTCTCCCTGCTCTTCCAAACATTTCACAATAATTCATTGTGTTTGGTGCTTGTAGATTGAGTGTGACTGGAGTGGTAGAGGCAGTGATTGAGGCAATGGTATTTAATAACATACATGTTAATAATAATACATGTTTTTTAATAATATGTACTATTATTATTTATAACATGTATGTTATTAAATACCACTGCCTCAACTGCTGAATTATTGTGAAATGTTTGGAAGAGCAGGGAGACTAATGTTCACTCCAGCATAAACAAAGTCACACTGACGATGTGTCAACCACTCCCTCATATTTTTGTACATTTCCTTCTTCAATTATATCGTATTTATTATTATTATTATTATTATTATTATTATTATTATTATTATTATTATTATTATTATTATTATTATTATTATTATTATTACTATTGTTATTATTAGCAATAGCAGAAATGTTCGATTCTTTGCTGTGTTCAAGAGTAAACACATGATGTCACCGTCTAATACCTTTCCTAATAGCCATTCCAATATGCAGTCATGAATGGGTTTACATTATTTATTCTGTAGTTTAATAGCAAATAATGAACAAACAAAACACTCACCACATTGAGTGGTGGTAGGGCTGGCTGCCAGTTGCGGGGGTCAGAGGGAGGGTAGTAGGGACTCGCAGTGGTGGAGGCATTGGTGGAGACAGTGGTGGAGTCTGTGGTATTTAATAACATACATGTTATTAACATACATGTTATTAAATAACATACGTTATTAAAGCATAACATGTACAGTGGACCCCCGCTTAACGATCACCTCCCAATGCGACCAATTATGTAAGTGTATTTATGTAAGTGCGTTTGTACGTGTATGTTTGGGGGTCTGAAATGGACTAATCTACTTCACAATATTCCTTATGGGAACAAATTCGGTCAGTACTGGCACCTGAACATACTTTTGGAATGAAAAAATATCGTTAACCGGGGGTCCACTGTATATATTTAGTACAATTTACGACGTTTTCATGTATTTTATGATTATTCATTGTTCAACAAGTTAAGGAAGCAGTATTGTAATATATTTCCCTGCAATATATTGGGGCACCAAACATTCACGGTTTTTCAACATTTGCGAGGCTCTTGATCCCCTAACCCTCGCGAATGTTGAGGGAGACCTGTATTTCCAATTTATATACCTTAGTCATTGAAATGAAATTTTGTTTAATTATACTGTATTCCACAGAGAGTTTTATAGCGGTCCCCTTGGAGCACGCTACATTATTCCAGAAGAAAATATAACCATTCGTGCTCCAGTCATTGCCCTTTATGAAGAAGACCTGAACTTTTATAGGGCAATTATAATATCACTGGAAGACCTTGGAACTGTTAAGGTATTAGTTTTCTCAGTATTATTTTTGTTGGAATTATGCCTTTTTTGATTATATAAGGTATTAGTTCTAAATGTTGGACAAGTAAATAACCATGCCACATATAATAATACTATAATAATATATAATATAATATAATAATATAATAATAATATGGTAGTAGGTTGGTAGACAGCAACCACCCAGGGAGGTACTATCGTCCTGCCAAGTGAGTGTAAA